CGTTTCGGGCCTAGACCTTTTTCTGAAGAAGGGTCTAGGCCCGAAACGTCAGCCTTCCTGCTCCTCTGATGCTGCTTGGCCTGCTGTGTTTATCCAGCTCTACACCTTGTTATCTCAGATTCTCCAGCATCTGCAGTTCCTACTATCTCTGAAATAAAGTGTTTGAATATTGGTGATCCTCAGAAGTAAAGATGAAGCAGGCACTGAAGTCAGTTTAAATCAGGAGGTAATGTTTATTTACAAAACTCTGTTATACAGAGGTAAGTTATAACATTTAAAAAACATTTGGGCAGGTACATGAATAAGAAAAGTTTGGAGGGATATGGGCCAAACATAGGCAAAGGGGACTAGTTTAATTTGGGAAATTTGGTCAGCATGGATGAGTTGGACTGAAGGGTTTACTTCCATGCTGTATGACTAGAAGGTTTTCAACAAAGTCCCACATAAGAGATTGATGTATAAAATTAAAGCCCACGGAATTGGGATAGTGCATTGAAATGTACAGAAAACTGGTTGGCAGACTATGGTGAACCAGACCAAACCCACTGAAAATATATTAAGATAGCGGAGACCCTAACTTTTTCTTATTTTAAAGGTAAGTATCAGGCGGTGTTCCAGATGCAATTCATTGGTCAAACTACCAGTCTTGAAGAAAAACACACTATTAATAGACAATTGTTAAATAACAAAAGAAAGAAGAAATTGGAATAACCTGACTCTATTGGAAAACTTAACAGAATAATGGATTATTTAACTACTAAATAGTAACTGTTCGAATATATAATATCCCACAAACACACACTTGGCAAAGGCAAATTCAGTAAAACAGACTGTCTCATGTGCAATTCTATCAGCAGGAAGAGGTCCCCAGCTTTTAGCTGTAACAGAGAAAAGAATAGAGTTTCTGCATCCAGCTTCAAGACCCCAGCAATTGCAGAAAGCTAAAACTAAAAAGGCGGGTTCTGTGGGATTCAGGCATGCAGGAAACCCATTCAGGCTGCTTCTATTGTTCCAACTTTAAAAAAAACACCAAGGCCTCACAAGCTGTTCATTCTATTGGCTTTGAGCAGACAGTACGTCTGTCTTAACTTTTCTTCATTAAAAACCAGGAAAAAATACACTGCTTAAAGCCGAGCATTATCACACCTCCGCCCTTAAATATACAAAGATGACTTCATTTCTAAAAACCTTTAGCCTTACTCTATTAGTGCACTACAACACATTTACATTACATTGACTCTCAGTGTGCAAACATTCACAACTACAGTCCATTTCAGTCAGTTTTCCCCGCCACCGAACGCCAACGTTTTCCAAAGTCGTGACAATGGGTCAGCAATTACATTCTCTTTTCCTGCCATGTATATAATTTTCAAATTGAATGGCTGCAAAAAACAGCTCCATCTAAACAGTCTGGTATTTTTATCTTTAAATTTTTCCAAAAACTTTAAGAGGTTATGATCGGCATATAAAATTGTCTCAGACACATTACTGGCAATATAAATGTTGAAACATTGCAACGCCAACACCAAGCTCAAGGTCTCATCAATTGTGAAATACTTTTGTTAATGATTATTTAATTCTCTGAAAATATACTTAATAGGTATTTCTATCTACTTGCAAAAGTGAAACACCGACACCCACATTAATCGCATTGATAACCACCTTGAATGGCTTTGAGTAATTAGGTGTGGCTAACACTGGGCGATGGTTAACACAGCTTTCAGGCTGTCAAATACCTTGACATTCGACCATCCACTGAAATTTTCAGCACTCCTACAACAAGTCAGTCAATGGAGCAAACAAACGAAAGATCAGTTCTAACCTCTGCTGTCTGCCACATCCAGTTGAGAATGGTGCTGGAGGAGGCGGCTCCACTAAAATCCTCATGCTCAATGAAGGGAAAGCCCAGGACATCAATGCAAAATATAACACTTTCACAGCGATCGTCAGCCCTAAGTACCAAATGGATGATCCACCTTGGCCTCCTTCTGACACCCTCAGCATCACAGAGGCCAGCCTTCAGCCAACTCCACATAATGTCATGCATTAAACTGAATGCACTGGATTTCGCAAAGGCTATACGTCCTGATCACATTCCAGCAATGACACTGAAGATTTGTGCTGCAGAACTTGCTGTGCCCTTAGTCAAGCTGTTCAGGGACGGCTACTAGCATCACCTAACAATATGGAAAACTGCCTGGATATTTCATGTAAAAAGCAGGATAAATCCAACCCGAAAAA